CGTCTTGGCTATTGTGACTAATGCTACAATGGACATAGGGTGCATAAGTCTCTTTGCATTGTTGATTTCAAGTTCTTTGGATAAATACCCAGTAGTGGGATAGCTGGATCGTATGGTAATTCTATTTTTAGTTTTTCAAGGAATCTCCATACTGTTTGCCATAGGGGCTGCACCAGTTTGCATTCCCACCAGCAGTGTATGAGGGTTCCCTTTTCTCCACAACCTCTCCAACATTTGTTATTTTTTGTCTTGGTGATTATAGCCATTCTAATGAGTGTAGGGTGATATCTTAGTGTAGTTTTGATTTGCATTTCCCTGATGATTCGTGATTTTGAGCATCTTTTCATGTGCTTGTTGGCTTTCTGTGTATCTTCTTTGGAAAATTGTCTGTTCATATCCTCTGTGCATTTTTTGATTGCATTGTCTGTTTTTTGTTGTTCATTTGTGTGCATTCTTTATATATTTTGGATGTTAACCCACTTTATATATTTTGGAGATAATATGTGACTTACGAAAGTTTTCTCTCAGTCAGTGGGTTGTCTTTTTGTTTTGTTCCTGGTGTCCTTTGCCTTGCAGAAGCTCTTTAGTCTGATGAAATCCCACTTGTTTATTTTTTCTTTTGTTTCCCTTGTCCATGTAGACATGGTATTCGAAAAGATCCGTCTAAGACTGATGTCAGAGAGTGTACTGCCTATATTTTCTTCTAGGAGTTGTATGGTTTCATGTCTTACCTTCAAGTCTTTGATCCATTTTGAATTAATTTTTGTGTATGGTGAAAGATAATGGCATCTTCATTCTTTTGCATGTGGCTGTCCAGTTTTCCCAACACCATTTATTGAAGAGACTTTCCTTTCTCCATTGTATGTTCTTAGCTTCTTTGTCGAAGATTAGCTATCTGTAGATGTGTGGTTTTATTCCTGGGCTTTCAATTCTGTTCCACTGATCTGTGTGCCTGTTTTTGTACCAGCACCATGCTGTTTTGATTACTATAGCTTTGCAGTGTATTTTGAAATCAGGGATTGTGGTGCCTCCAGCTTTGTTCTTTTTTCTCATGATTTCTTTAGCTATTCGGGGTCTTTTCTTGCCCCATATGAATTTTAGGATTCTTTGTTCTATTTCTATGAAGAACGTCATTGGGATTTTGATTGGGATTGCATTGAATCTGTAGATTGCTTTTGTTAGTATGGACATTTTAACTATATTTACTCTTCCAATCCATGTGCATGGAATCTCTTTCCATTTCTTTATGTCATGTTGATTTCTTTCAATAGTGTCTTATAGTTTTCATTGTATAGGTCTTTCACCTCCTTGGTTAAATTTATTCCCAAATACTTTATTCTTTTTGTTGCAATTATAAATGGGATTGTATTCTTGAGTTCTCTTTCGGCTAGTTCATTTTTAGTGTATAGAAATGCAACTGATTTTTGTAAGTTGATTTTGTACCCTGTAACTTTGCTGTTGTTGATTATTTCTAATACTTTTCCTATGGATTCTTTAGGGTTTTCTATGTATAAAATCATGTCATCTGCAAATAGCAAGAGTTTCACTTCTTCATTGCCTATTTTGATTCCTTTTATTTCTTTTTCTTGCCTAATTGCTCTGGCCAACACCTCCAGGACTATGTTGAATAAGAGTGGCAAGAATGGTCACCCTTGTCTTGTTTCTGTTCTCAGAGGGATGGCTTGTACTTTTTCCCTGTGAGTGTGATATTGGCTGTGGGTTTGTCATAAATGGCCTTTATTATGTTGAGGTGCTTTCCTTCTATACTCATTTTGTTGAGAGTTTTTATCATAAGTGGATGTTGGATCCTGTCGAATGCTTTCTGTACATCTATTGAGATGATCTTGTGGTTTTTATTCATCCTTTTGTTAATGAGGTATATCACATTGATTTGCAGATGTTGAACCATCCCTACATCCCTGGTATAAATCACACTTGATCATGGTATATGATCTTTTTAATGTATTGCTGTATTCAGTTTGCCAGTATTTTGTTGTGGATTTTTACATCTGTGTTCATCAGCGATATTGGCCTGTAATTTTCCTTCTTTGTGTTGTCCATCTCTGGCTTTGGGATCAGGGTGATGTTGGCCTCATAGAATGTGTTAGGAAGTATTTTGTCTTCCTCAATTTTTTGGAATAGTTTGAGAAGGACAGGTATTAAATCTTCTTTGAATGTTTGGTAGAATTTTCCCAGGGAAGCCATCTGTTCCTGGACTTTTATTTTTGGGCAGGTTTTTGATTACTGTTTCAATCTCTTTATTGTGATTAGTCTATTCAGATTCTCTATTTCTTCTTGGTTCTGTTTTGGGAGGTTGTATGAGTCTAAGAATTTATCCATTTCTTCTAGATTGTCCAATTTGTTGGCATATAGTTTTTTCACAGTATTCTCTTATAATCCTCTGTATTTCTGTGGTATCTGTTATAAGTTCTCCTCTTTCATTTCTAATTTTATTTATTTGAGCCTTCTCTCTCTTTTTCTTAGTGAGTCTGGCTAAGAGTTTGTCAATTGTGTTTATCTTCTCAAAGAACCAGCTCTTTGTTTCATTGATCCTTTCTACTGTTTTTCTGGTTTCAATTTCATTTATTTCTGCTCTAATTTTTATTATTTCCCTCTTTCTGCTGACTTTGGGCTTTGTTTGTTGTTCTTTTTCTAATTCTGTTAAGTGTAGTTTAAGATTGTGTGTTTGAGATTTTTCTTGTTTTTTAAGATGGGCCTGTATTGCCAAGAATTTCCCTCTTAGGACCGCTCTAGCTGCATCCCATGTGAGTTGGTATGGTGTATTTTCATTCTCATTTGTCTCCAGATATTTTTTTTTCTCCTTTAATTTCTTCAGTGATCCATTGGTTGTTCAGTAGCATGTTGTTTGCTCTCCACGTTTGTCACTTTCCCAGCTTTTTTCTTGTAGTTGATTTCTAGTTTCATAGCATTATGATCAGAAAAGGTACTCGATAGGATTTCTTTTTTTTTTTTGTATGTGAGGAAGATTGGCCCTGAGCTAACATCTGTTGCCAATCTTTCTGTTTTTGCTTGAGAAAGATTGCCACTGAGCTAACATCTGTATCAGTCTTCCCCTATTTTTTTTGGATGCCGTCATGGCATGGCTTGGTGAGCGATGCTGCTAAGTCTGCTCCCAGGATCCAAACCTGTGAACCCCGGGCCACTGAAGCAGAGCACATGAACTTAACCATTATGCCACCGGGCTGGCCCCATTGATATGATTTCAGTCTTGTTAAATTTATTGAGGCTTGCTTCCCAACATATGGTCTGTCTTTGAGAATGTTCCATGTGTACTTGAAAAGAATGTGTATTTGTTATTTTTGGATGAAGTGTTCTGTATATATCTGTTAAGTCCATCTAGTCTAGTTTTTTGTTTAAATCTACTGTTTCCTTGTTGGCTGTCTGTCTGGATGATCTGTCCATTGATGTAAATGGGGTGTTAAGGTCCCCTGCTATTATTGTGTTGTCATTAATATCTCCTTTTTGGTTTGTTAATAGTTGCTTTGTGTACTTTGGTGCTCCTGTGTTGGGTGTATATATGTGCTTATAAGTGTTATGTCTTCTTGGTGAACTTATACAAATCTTTTTGTGGGCGAATTTAACTTATCCAGCTTGGGACTCAGAGAACTCTACCAAATCTGACCTCCTTCGTCTTCCAAATCTTCATTATGTGGATATTGAGTTTCCCAATCCATCCTCCATGCTCCGCTGTTATGTTTTCTACCTCCTTGTCTCTGGGCTACGTTCTAAGTAACTTCCTCACGTTTCTCTTCAATTCCGTAACTCTCTCTCTCTCTCTGTCTGATCTGCTGTTTCGCCTGTGTATTGAGTATTAAAAAATTTTAACTGATATTTTTCATATGTAGAATTTCTACTTTCTGTTGCCTCCTCTGCATGTTTTAGATTTTATTTTCCTTTATTTCCCTGAATGTTCTTACTTTCAAGGCCCTTTCGGATCTCAGATGTGGGTATTTTTGTTTGATGGCTCTGACCTGTCCTGCTTGGCTGGGGTTTCTCGCTTTTGTTTTGATCTGTTGGTGAGTGCTCATCTAGGGACTGGTCTCCTGGGGAGGTCTGGCATGTTTCCTGCATGGTAGAAACATGTGTATATGAAACAGTTTTATGATCGACTCTGCCTGGTCCCAACAGAATTCACCAATTCTGACCATTTTAGTTTTAGTTCCTTCCTTAGGGTTTCCTTTTAGGAGGATAATAATAACTTGGGCCCTGTACCGGTCCAGAGTGCAGGCTTGAGGGTGTGCTCTCTCCTGAGGGACTCTGGTCGTGCTCTCAGCCTTGAGCAGGTGGCTGGCCTGGGCCACGGTGGGTGCACACTTTCAGGTTCCTGTTCATGGACAAGGTGGCACTCTCTTGGGTCCCAGCTACGCCCTGGTTCTGTGGCCTAGACGTCTGTCCCTGGGCTGCTGATGGACCAGCTTTATCTCTGCCCAGCGTTACCTCCCATCCCTGGGGCTTCCACTCTTCCATTTCTGATGATTTCCCTTTCTTCTTTTTGAGTTCGATTGTGTATTAAACTTTTATCTTCTCAGTGTTGTCTCCAGCATTTGTATTGTTTAGCATGGGAAAGGGAAGAGTTTTTATATCTTCTCAGATTATTTTATTTTTTTTTTAAATTTATTATTTTTTTATATTTCTCCCTCCTTTCTCAGATTATTTTAATTAGGAAATCTCTCTGTGCAAGTTCTTTAATCTCATTAAGCCTCAGTTTCCTTTTCAGTAAAAGTTTAGGAGAAAGTATATATGAGTACTTAGCACAGTTTCCGCAGTAATAGTTTTTTTTGTTGTTTTTTTTAAAAGATTTTCTTTTTAATTTTTACCTTTTCTCCCAAAGCCCCCCGGTACATAGTCATGTATTTTTAGTTGTGGGTCCTTCTAGTTGTGACATGTGGGATGCCACCTCAGCATGGCTTGATGAGCAGTGCCGTGTCTGCTCCCAGGATCCAAACTGGTGAAACCCTGGGCTGCCGAAGCAGAGCATGTGAACTTAACCACTTGGCCATGGGGCTGGCCCCCAATAATTTTTAAAAAGGGTAGCCATTTTACTATTTTCGTTAGTAGTGTAATAATTGTTGTGATTCCATTTTTCCTCTCCAATGCCGAATATTTCTGTAGGCATGATTATAGCCCAGGGTTGTTGTAGATATTAAATTACTTTTAAAACTTTGCTGTTGAATCTTTTTAAAAGTGATAAAAACAGTACACATTCTATGAGAAACCCTCAGCCATAGAGAAGTGTAGGTGGAGTCTGGCAGATCGCTGAGTCTGTGGGCAATACAGATTTTAGACCAGAGCCCACAGATGGGTAGCCCAGAGCCCAGAGTGTTTTTGTTTGGTTGGCACAGTGTTTTAAAAACTGTGAATTTGCTGCTGACACTTGAAAATGGTGACATTTCACGTAAAATCCCAATATCTGACTTCCCTTGAATACTCAAGTTATCTGAAGGCACTGGGCCTTCTTCCCAAACAGGATCAGTCAGCTCGTGCTCGGTGGTTGCTGTTCCATGTTTCGTCTCCATCACTGAGGCCAAGGGCCGCTTCCCATTTATTGTTATGCTTTTACTGTGGTTTTTTAAATAGTACAGAATAGTACTATATACCTATTTCTCTGTCAAAAATAGGAAAAAAAAAGATGGAGAAAACCATGTTATAAGACAAATGATAAGGAGACTATTTCATGGTAGAAATGAAGATGGTTCCTACATATTTACTGGGGCGTCTGTGTCACTTTTCTTGTGCTTGGCTTGCTTTACTTGCTTATGTTACCCTGTCTTGACCCTATGGACATTTCAATTTGCAGGCTCCTCCTGAACGTCTTGGATCTCTCTCTAAGCTCTGTCCTTTTCTTTTCTAGTCCCGCCTTCCTTTTTGTTCTGCCCTAGCTCACCCTCAATAACTGAGTCTGTTTCTATGGAGAACTGCGGAGACTTCTGGAGCAACAGAAAATCCACGCTTACTCAAGCCTGTGTGCTTTGTCCCCCACTGGCCACACCTTCCAGAAAAGCAAAGAAATCTTCCCCCCAACTTACAGATGATTCAGTTTTTTCATTGAAAAGCAGAAGTTTCCATTCAGCTGTTAGAGATTGAAGGTTTAAAGTGCAAACACGTTGAAGAAGACCTGTGAACTGAAATTTGCTCACTAATAGATCAGCAAGTGGAAGTGAGAGTCCAGCTTACTGTTTTGACTGACATGATCTTATGTGGTTAGGAGAGCTCCGGGCAACTGGTAGAGAGCAAGGGGGTTTCCCCAGGTGAGAATGGAGATGGAGATGAAGTACAGAAGGTAGGAAAGTGAGAAAATTAACATATCACTGTTTCATGTGGAAAGGTGTAGCAGTTTTTTAGTTTGCTGGCACATGGATTGGAATGGAATACTTTTTAGGGGAAAACTAGTTTCCATATTGGTTTAAATTCTGTGTGTAAACATATTGTTGCATTTGTTTTGCAGGTTGTGGGATTAGTGATATGCTTTCCTAGACAGCAGAAAAGTCAAAGATGTCGAGACACTTAGTGGCTTTGACAGTGACCACCCTTCTTGGTGTGGCTGTGGGGGGGTTTGTCCTCTGGAAAGGCATCCAGCGCCGGAGAAGTAAAACGAGTTGTGTGACCCTGCGGCGGCAGCAGCAGCAGCAGCAGCAGCAGCAAGCACGAGACAGGAGAGAGCCGCCCCCTCCGGAAGAAGAGCAGCTGCGCCCCAGTGCCCCCAGAGCCTCGTGGGAGGAGAAGATCCTCGAGGCAAAGGTGGTGACTGTGTCTCACGGGGCAGAGTGGGATCAGATCGAGCCCTTGCTGAGGAGTGAGCTAGAAGATTTCCCGGTACTTGGAATTGACTGTGAGTGGGTAAGTTAAAAAGCAAAATGAGGGGCCGGCCCCGTGGCCGAGTGGTTACATTCATGCTCCGCTGAGGTGGCCCAGGGTTTCGCCACTTCAAATCCTGGGCACAGACATGGCACCGCTCATCAAGCCTTGCTGAGGCGGCGTCCCATATGCCACAACTAGAAGGACCCACAACTAAAAATACACAGCTATGTACCGGGGGGCTTTGGGAGAAAAAGGAAAAATAAAATCTTTAAAAAAAAGAAAGTGAAATGAAACAAATAAATCTTTTCTGCTTTTCCAACTAGGGACCTTGAATAGTCAAGTAGAGTATAAGATTAAAGGAGAATTGGCTTGTTCACAACTTGTTTGTAAGTAGATTTTAGCAGAAGGAGAAGCTGCTTCTCTTCTCTGGACAGGGGAGTGCTTATAATCATGGATCCTGGAGTCAGAGCTGTATGAGTTCCATTTTACCACTTACTGTCTGTAGACTTGGACAAGCTCCTTGCCCTCCCTGAGGTCAGTGTACTTGTTTGTAATAGGGCTGTAATGGCATCTGCCTCCCAGGGCTTTCCTAAGGCTTCAGATAGATCACCCCTATAAAGACTTCAGCACAATTTTAACACATAGTAAATGTTCAGTAATAGCTACTATTAATATTTTTGTTAGTATTTTCCTAAGGATGCTGTGGAGAATGTAGTTAAGGAAGTCTGTTTAAATGGGAATTATTACACAAATTAGGATTTAAAAAGATAACAGTTAAAATTTGAAACATTGTTTACTCCAAGCCAGACACTGTGCTGTTTTGTTTGCATCATCTCATTTAATTTTCACAATAATCGTATGTAGGAAGAAACTGTTATTATCTTCACTTTACAGATAGGAAACAGAGGCATAAAAAAGTTTAGTTACTTGTCCAAGGCCACAAAGCCAGTAACCAGCATTTGAGCCCAGGGCTTTCTAGCTATCTGGTTGATTTTTCTAATAGCTTTACTTTGGGGAGTTGTTTCATCGTTGTGGTGAGGATAATGTGTTACCCCTGCTCTTCCATCCTTCTGATTCACAGAGTGAACTTTAATCTCCTTGACACAGAAGATATTACAAAAATGTAAATAAATCATAGTTATCATCTTTTGTTAATTCAGCATAATACCTTGCCAACATCCCTGACATATGTCTTCTGGATATCCAGAGTACAGCCAAGAGCCAGGAAATGTAATCAAAAGAGGCCCTAAGCAGAATAGCTGCCACAAGGTCAGAGGCGGTAGGAAGGGCTGCCAGATGCAATTCAGTGACGACCGAGAAGAGAGCAGTGTTTAGTAGTCACCCAGGCCCTTCACCTTAGCTACTGGGTATTTCTGTACATCAGCAATAGTAGTAGTTGTTTATACCATTGACCTTGGGCCATCAAGAAAGATTAGGTACTTTTAGTTGATTCTGTATAAGAAATTATATCGTTTTAGAAATATTTACTTATTTCTATATCATTTTAGAAATATTTACACCAACAACAATAGAAGAAAACATTAGTAAACAGTGAGCTTTAGTAGCTTAGGAAAATTCACATTTGTGAATATCGGGATTATTCCAACTAAATGAAGTGTAACTGTAGCAGCTACAGGGTAGTGTGAGGTGAATAGTTAGTAACAGCACTTGACTCAATGGTAATACATTGAATCACTGTGCAGACTCGAGGATAAATTAAAGTGGCAAATAATCCAAAACTCACTTCATTTTGACTTTCAATAGGTGTTGAACTCTTGCTGGACGCCACCTCTCCTTCGGGTGTGACTGCATTTCCCTGATAGCTGCTACACGAAAAACTTCGTGACAGTCATCCATCTTTGTTCTCTCCTTTCTTCCGTTTCTGTTTCCCTTTCTCTTTCATTTGCTTTGTGTGTTTGTTTAGTTATTGTTTTTGTTCTTGTTTTAGACAGTCAGTATTTGTTTTGATTTGCCAAAGTGTTTACCCTTCTTTTTTTGCGTGTGTGAGGAAGATTCACGTTGAGCTAACATCTGTTTCAATCCTTTTTTGTTTTGTTTTGTTTTTACTTGAGGAAGATTAGCCCTGAGCTAACGTCTGTGCCAGTCCTCCTCTCTTTTGTATGTGGGACACCTCCACAGCATGGCTGATGAGTGGAGTGGTCCAAACCCAGGATCTGAAACCACAAACCCAGGCTGCCAAAGCAGAGTGCATGGAATTTTAACCATTTGGCCTCGGGGCCAGCCACTACTTACCCTTTTCTTTGCTCGTCTCTCCTTTTCTCTCAGATCTTTTTAGAATCATTTTCTTTCTTTTCTTTCTTTCTCTCTTTTTTTTTTTTTTTGGTGAGGAAGATTGGCCCTGAGCTAACATCTGTTGCCAATCTTCCTCTTTTTGCTTGAGGAAGATTGACCCTGAGCTAACACCTGTGCCAATCTGTCCTCTATTTTGTATGTGGGTCACCGCCACATCATGGCTTGATGAGTAGTGTAGGTCCTCACCTGGGATCCAAACCTGTGAATCTGGGCCACCAAAGCAGAGTGTGCTGAACTTAACCACTATGCCACCAGACTGGCCCCTGGAATCATTTTCTTTAAGGTCATCCTTCGGAAGTTCATTTCTTGAGGGCTCATTGATAATAAACTTATTATCATTGTTATTATTTTGAAAGTGTCTGTTTTATGCTCTTGATCTTGAAAGATATTTTCACTGGATATAAAATTCTAGCTTGGAAACTTATCATCATTTTCAAGGTAGTATTCCATTGTCTTCTGGCTTCCATTGTTGCTGTTGAAAATAACTGTCAGTCTGAATGTTGATTCCTTATAAGTAATCTAATTTTTTGTTATCTCCTGTTAAGATCTTCTCTTTGAGTTTGTGGTTCTGAAGATTTACTGGGATGAGACTAGGCACCGTCTTCTTTCTGTACTTCCATATTGAGATTCAGAGAGAGATCTGGATATAAGGATAGGTGTCTTTTATTAAAGTTAAAATTCTCTTTGAAGATTGTCTTTACCTTGTTTTTTCTTCTTTTTTTCCCTCCTCCTCCTTATTCTTTCTTGCTGGAATTTGATCAGTTGTATTCTCAACTTTTCATGCAATCCTACATGTCTGTAATCTCTTGTATAGTTCACGTATCTTAGTCTCTGGATTCATTCTGCACAATTTCTTCAGGTCTCTTTGACAGTTCCCTTTTTCTTTCTTTAGCTTTGTCTAATCTGGTGTTTAACTTGCCTGTTGAGTCTTTTTTTTTTTTTTTACCTTTTTATTGTGAAATAAAACACATCAAGAAAAGTGCCTGAAACAAAAATAAACAGCTAAATGATTTATCTAAAGAGAACAGCTGTGGAACTAGAAACTAGGTCAAGAAACAGAAGGTTGCCAGTACCCCAGAAGCTGCCCTTGCACCCCTTGTGATCGTTGTCTCTCCCCTCCCCTCTAAGGGTTACTGTTATCCTGATTTCATGATAGTTACTTTCTTATTTTTCTTTATACTTTTATTACTCAAGCATGCATCCCTAACTATTGTAATTTAGTTTTGTCTGCTTTTTAAATTTAATATAAATGAAACCATCAAATATATATTCTTTTGTATCTGGGTTCTGTTGCTTGACCTTATGTTTGTGAGATTTACCTCTGTTGTGTGTGACTGTGATTCATTGCCATGTAGTGATCCGTTGTATAAATACATGACAATTTATTCATCTATTGTAGTACTGATGGACATTTGAGTTGTTCATGGTTTGGGGCTCTTACAAAGAAATGCTGCAACGAACGTGTGCATTCATTATTATTGGCATAGGCGTCTATGAGTGGAGTCCTGGGTTGTAGAGTTTATATATGTATCTTTAACTTTTACAGATAGTCAAAACTGTTTTCCAAGGTAGTTTTAACTAATTTGCCCTCCTTACCTTACTTTATCAGTAGTGTAAGAGTGTACCCGTGGTTTCCAACTGTTTTCGGAAGTGGTTCTATTCAACGTTGTGCCTTCAGCATTGTCATATTGACATGATATCTGCAGTAGGTTTGTTTGTAGATCCTTTTACCAGATTAAATACATTCAGTTCTATTTTTGGTTTGATAAAATAATAATTTTTTTTGTTTTGTTTTTTACTAAAGGGTGTTCTTTTTAGATCTGTTTCTTGCAGGCCTGGACCTACCCAGATTTTTATTATAATTTTTTTAGGCCATATTGGTTTATAACATTGGGTAATTTCAGGTGTACATTAAATATATCAGTTTCTGTATAGACTGCATCATGCTAACCACCAATAGTCTAGTTTTTATCCGTCACCCTGCCTATGTGCCCCTTTACCCATTTCGCCCTGCCCCCACCCCCTTCCCCTCTGGTAACCACTAATCTGTTCTCTTTGTGCATGAGTTTGTTTATCTTCCACATATGAGTGAAATCATACGGTGTTTGTCTTTCTCTGATTGGCTTATTTCGCTTAACATAATACCCTCAGGGTTCATCCATGTTGTTGCAAAGGGGACGATTTTAGGTAAGAGTTTTTTTAAAATCATGAATAGTTGTTGAATTTTATCAAGTGCTTTTTCTGTGTGTCTTGAGATGACTATGTAGTTTTTCTTATTTATTCTGTTGTGGTGAAATATGTTGATTTTCGAATTCCTAAGATAAATCCAAGTTGGTCACCATGTTGTATTCTTTGTATACATTGTCAAATTCATTTTGCTAATGTTTTTTAGAGGATTAAAAAAAATCTGTGTTCATGAGTGATATGGGCTTATAATTTTGCTTTCTGAAAATGACCTTGTCAAATTTTGATGCAGTTATGCTGGCCTCAGACAACAAGTTAGGGCTGTTCCTTATTTAAATGTTCCCTGGAAGAGTCTGTGTAAGACTCACTCATTAAATGTTTGATTAGGATCTGGTGAGGCCATCTGAAGTGTTCTTTTAAGGAAGTTTTTGAAATATGGCTTCAGTTTCTGTAATAGTTCTGGGGTGGTTCATATTTTCTGTTTGTTGAAGTCTGTTTTGATTAGTTTTTTCATCTGAATCTGTCCTGTTTCAAATCTTAAA